TCCTGCTTCCTGGTCTCCGTGGAAAGTTCTTCCTGCTGGGAAGATGGGGTTCTCCCTGGTGACCCATCTCATCTGGGTCCCTCCCACCGGGTTGGGAAGGTGCCTGCTTGGCAGGAGGCATGCATCGTTGGTAGCCCCACACCACCCACGGCCACCCTCTGCTCTGTTCTGCCCACTCCTCCAACTCGCTCTCTGCGATGACCCGGGAGGAGCCCGGGTCTTTCCTGTCCATTGAAGACTGGTGGTTTTAGATGCCTTTCCCCAAACATCTTGTTGACATTTTTCCTAGCTAAGCCTCATTTTTCTGTTTGCAGCCCATTTTTCTATGTCTTAGGAAAAATAGATATGTCAGCTGTTTTTCTTTTTCACTTCCATGTCCTCTGCCACTTCATTAGAGTGCGACTTGACTGTGTCCAAGTTCATGTATCGGGTGGGGAGAGGATGCATTAAGTAACAGTGGGCCCAGTTCCAAGTCCCAAGTTGCTTCCTGGGTGGTTACTATTTAGTAACTGTTTTTGGCTTAGTCTTCCGCCTGGGGAGGTGGTGGGGTTGGTGCCATCAGGCAAGGAGTAGGACAAGAGAAACTTGGGCCTTCTCCAGCTCTGTTACCATACAGCTCCATCACTACAGCTCAGCAGCCAGCAAACATTCAGAAACTTCTGGAGTCAGGCATTCGTCAGGAGATGGGAATACTGTGAGGTGAGGTCCAGGAAGACTGGACACTTAGGAAGAACACACAATGCAAGATGGCTGCCTGAGCCAAGGCTGGGTTTCGCCCCGCCTTCAACCCATTTGAGCAGGCTTAAGCCCCACAGATGTTAAGTTGGCATATCTTTAGGTGAAGTGACAGGGTGAGCTTCATAATTTGCAGAAGCCAGTCCAGAAGGAACATGTGGGTACTCAGCATTCTGTGCAGGGACTCCTGAATGCCATTCTTCTCACCACCTCTAATGTCAACAGTGGTGTCCCTGGCTTCTTCTAAAATAACTCTACTAACCAGACTGGTGTAGGGATGCCAATCTCCCCTTCCCACGGGCCTGCCACTGCAGCTCATAGTGGGCAGGGGTCCCCAGGAGATTGCACGTCTGCACTGGGCACTCTTGGTACCTAGATGGAGGGTGGGTGAGAGGTCCCCGTTGAGTCAGCAGCAATTGCACTGCAGCACTGCCAGTCCAGGGAGTGCAGGATGGCTGGCACTATGCCTCTCCCCAAGACATTGCAGGGCGCATGCCCAGTCCTGACTCTCCCTGTACAGGTGCGGAGGCCTCCACCAACATGACTCCGTCAGTACCTTGGGAGCAGGGTGACACTGGTGATGGAGCCCAGGCACCAGGGGTGAGGTGTAGGTGCCTGAAAATCCCTCCTGGGGAGGTGGTGAGGAGGCAGGACCATGAGTGAGCTGAAGCTTTAGATGCCAGTGCATGTTCACTTAGAAAACACAAATTCAAAGATAAAAATACTAAGAATCAAAGATGGCAACTGCAGAGCACCCAACCACAAGTGGAGGCCTTCAGAGTACAAGGCCCTTAAGAATGCAAGACCCTTTCGGGCTCAAATTTTCTAGAGAGGAGATTTGGGGTTCAGTTTGAGACCCATTAGCAAAGCTGGAAGATGCAGCTGTGGCTCAGATGTTGGAGCATAAATGAATGGGCACACCTCCACTGGGTGGATGGCAGTGGTTCCCCAGTGAAGAGGGGCCTGGGGCTTGGCTAACTCAAAAGATCCTTACTCTGACAGTGTGTGCTGAATAAAATGTGAGTAGTAGAGAGACTGAGCCTCACTCTCATGTCTTTTATTGGAATTGTGGAGAGGGAGACCCTACTTCTAGCCTCAGTTTATACAACTATAAGGTAAGAGCAAAATCTACAGACTCCTGGGAGCAGGAAGTTATATAAGGATTTTCAAGATACCTTTGAGAAAGGTACGTTAGCCTCCTGGAAAATGGAAATGGATCCACTAAATATCATTAAAATGTGTGTGACCAATTGGTTTTGACCATAGGACTGGGGAGAGGAGAATGTCTATATGATTCTTAAGACCCCTTCTAACCTCAAGTTTGTGTTTCTCTTATTTTGGTCTAAGCTGTAGAATTTCCATGCTGTGTATTGTGAGAAGTTTTAAAGGAGTATTTTCTTTATCATTTCTCCATAATATAGGAATAATTACTTTTCCTTGAAAATATATAAAAAAGATTTTTTTTCCTAATGGCTCCTTGAAGGGAGAAGACCTTGAAAGGAGAAGAAAGGAAAATCCAGGCCATGTTTTAAGGTTTATTCCATAAGATATGGACAATGTAATTTTCAAATGATTTTCTAATTCAAATGAAGAAAATGGCAACAAACTTAGGGACCCTATAGCACTTATTCTTCTTAAAAATACTCTGTCTTTTATCTTGACTTCTTAAAAGTAAAAAATGATTTTTATCACTAAAATAGTATATATATTCAGTAAATATTTATTAGGTACCTACTATGTTCTAGGTACTATACCAGGAGCCAAGGATATTAACTAAAATAAGACATGCCCTCACTCCTAAGGACCTAAAATTCTAACAGATGAATGGTTTGAATTAATTTCTGTTAACTCACGCTATCACCTGGACTAGGTTTTTATTTCTGTCCATGCCTCAGTTCCCCCATCCTCCCTCCATGTAGATAATTATAGTGATAGAACAACATGATGAAAATTGCATCACAGAGGCGATCTCTATTACCTCTATAGGTGCATTTCAGAAATGTGAAATTAGGGAGGGTTAAGAAAGTTGTTTTAATAGAAGCCTGGGACATCAGTGTTGACACTAGAGGTGCTGAGAAGAATGGCATTCAGGAGCCCGTGCACAGAATGCTAAGGGGACGTTCTGAGAACCTCACCTGGACTAGGTGTAAGGGACCAGCCAGGCGGAGACTGCAGGGCACAATTGAGATTTGTGCTCAGAAGTATTCAGTGGAGTGGTTGCCATCTGAACATACCTCCACAGACCACTCATGTCCAGCTCAGCTGTCACAAGATGTCAATTTGGTGCTGGGGTATTTTCTTGCTTTCTGACCCAGAAAGTCTTACCATGACCCAGCTGGGGTTCATGAACTTGGCTGGAAGCTACAGAACAGGTTAGGGCTTTGTCTTTATTACCTATGTGTTTCACAGTTCTTTGTGAAGGAATTGCTTTTTTTTTTTCTTTAACAAAGTTGGTGTATTCCTATATGGTGTCACTGTAATTTTGATTTGGTGTTCTAGCTGCCATCTTGAAACTACATGGTGGCTGGGTGTGGTGGCTCACGCCTGTAATCCCAACACTTTGTGAGGCAGAGGTGGGCAGATCACTTGAGGTCAGAAGTTCGAGACCAGCCCGGCCAAAATGGTGAAACCCTGTCTCTACTAAAAAAGTACAAAAATTAGCTGGGCATGGTGGCTGGTGCCTGTAATCCCATCTACATGGGAGGATGAGGTGGGAGAATTGCGTGAACCTGGGAGGCAGAGGTTGTAGTGAGCCAAGATCCCACCACTGCATTTCAGCCTGGGTGACAGATCAAGGCTCCGTCTCAAAAAGAACTACATGGTGACCAGTTACTTTCTCTAATTAGGTCGTATTTTGTAAATCCTAATAGGACTGTGAATTTGCTTAATGTGTATCCATCACAGAAATGGGATAGTACCTTTGATAAAATGTTCTATTAGTACATTTTATAAAGGCCCATTCACTACTGACTCTCGGCCTCCCACTCCTTTTGTGAAGTTGGGCTGAGATAGCAGTTATTACTATTGCTACCACCAATGCTGATTACTAGGGACATAAAATACTGTGTGTATGTGTTTATAGTGATTAATCATGTTTATAATGATTAATGTGTTTATAGTGATTAATGTGTTTATAATGATTATAATGAAGAATGTTATGGTATTGCTAGTATGCCATTTTACAGAGGAAGAGCTTGGGACTCAGGGAAATTAAATACAAAATCGCACAGCTAGAATGTAGCTGACTGGAACTTGAACTGATACCCAAGTTCTTTCCACTCTGCTCCATATGCTTCTTTTATCATTGCAATAGGGTCTAGGGTTTTATAAAGGAGAAGGCTAAAGAATGCATTAGGTCCTTTGGTAAGACACATTATCACCTTTGCAGCTGCCTCTCCCATAATCATAGGCCTTGTTAATCTAACAATGTAACATGAGTGTAAAGACACCAGCCCGTCATTGATCTCTGAGCAGAGGCTGCTCCATGTCTTAGGGGGCCAGCTGTAGCCTTTCAAGGGAAGAAAGGGGTCTGGGTGGGAAGACTTGCTGGAAGGCAGTGAAGTGGAGTGGAAAGAACATGGCTTACAGACTCAAGAAGACCAGATCTGTCTCCCTTGAGTAAGTCTCTTCACTGACCATCAGTAAAGTGAGGACAGTAGCACCAACTTGATAGGACTGAATTAAATGAGATGAAGGATATAAAGCTTATGATGTAGACAGGACACTCAACAATTGTTAGTTGCAGTTGCAAGAAGACTTTACTTTTCTCTTTCCACAATTTCCCATGTGCACATTCATCGACAGATGCATATTCATTGCTGCTTAAGATTTTGCACGCAGTCTCTTTCATGCTAGTGTGAGAAGCCCTAAATTTATGTTTTTTTAAATATGTTATTTCTGCATAGTTTCCCATTGCCTCAGTGCTCCCTTTTGTGAGTTTAGATCACTAAGGGCCTCTAGGACACTGGGTGTCAACAATAGCGAATTCATTCAAGCTTGTGTCATGCCTTTTTCCTGGTCTGAGGGATGAAGGTGGCGGTTGGGGTTGCCTCTTATCTCACTCGCTCTTTTGCTATGGGAAGTCTTACTGTCTTCTCCTGAAGCCTTGGCCTTCCAAGAGGAGAAAAGGCTTCTTAAACTCGGAGGCATGGCTAGAACACAAGTGCCTAGAACTCTGTGCCCTTGCCCACTGGAAGTGGAAGAGGGTTCATCACTCACGCTCTAGAGTTGCCCAGATTCTTATGTTCTTTGTTCTCTTTTGGCAGAACCAGCTTCTTGCAAAAGGACTGTTCTTTGTGGAGGAGAAGATCAAGCTGTGTGAAGGCAAGTACAAGACAGCCCTGATAGATTGGGGCCTCTGTGACTCAGCCTTTGATGTCTGAACAGCTGAGATGCTTCTGTCCAGAAGTGACAGACTCCAATCGAGTGATTCACCCTGTCCATTTCCTTCCTACCTAGGCAGCAGCACTTTCATTTGAGTCAGCTACTCACAGCATTGCAAGTCAGAACTGTGTTTCAGAGAAATGTAGTGGGATGGGGTGGTTTCTTTGGAGACCTTGTTCAGGTCTCCTTTTTTTTTTTGGTTTGTTTGTTTGTTTGTTTGTTTGTTTAATGGGATGCAGGCTAGGGGTCTCTTTTGAAGGAATAAGTTACTCTGTGAATCCTCCATGCTATTTCCTCTGGTCTGCCCCGAGCTATTTCCTACAGACCTTTGTAATATTTCTAGGGAGTCATAGAGGAGTCCTGTCCATTTGGGGGACATTAGGCTAAGCAGGTACTCACTCAATACTGTATGATTTGATAGACAAAGGGAAATTTCTTGATCTTGGATTTTAAAGTCCAACCGACAGGAGAGAAAGGAACTGAATGGAGATGGAAACAGGTTCCAACGGCAAGAATTGGTCAACCCCATGACTCTACCAAGGGCTACTTTTAGCTCCCACCAAAGTAGGACTTGATCTTAGCTTGCCACCTACGTCTTGGGTGACTTTTGGTTAGTTACTAGTTTCTCCAAGTCTCAGCTTTTATCATTTTTGAAGTGATAAATTGGGGTGAGGGGTTGTAGGGAACATCAGGCACATGAGTGGCGTAGCACCATACCTGGCACACAGCAGGTGTACATACCGGACCCTTTCTTTTTTTTTTTCTGCTCCAGCCTAATGACCCATAGATCAAACTTACTTCCAGGCCCAGACTTATTAGGTGTCATGTCATCATCCTTTTGTTTCTCCCCATTCCCTGGGAGAGACACTAGTGTGTCCAGGAAAGGGGCTCCTAGAAAGACAAAGTAGGAAGGAAAAGGAGAAACTGACGCTGGAAAGTTCCGAGGTCCGGCATACGGTAAATGCTTACCAAGCCTTGGGAAGAATAGAGGTTAGAAATTAACCTTTGCACATTTGAGAGTTGGCTGAACCTGTAGCCATTCTTCCCTTGAATACATCGATGACATTATTTTTTTTTCAAACTTATAAATACCCAGTAATCCAAGGCCTTCAGAAAAAAATTTTAAATTGTGGTTAAACAAAACCCCACACAATATAAAATATACCCTCTGTATAATTGCAGTACTTTACAGTTCAGTAGTGTTAATTATATTCACATTGTTGTGTAACATCTCTAGAACTTTATCTTGCAAAACGGAAACTCCATGTCCATTGAACAACCCCCAACATTTTGCTCCCTTTCCTCAGCCCCTGACAGCCACCATCCTATTTTTTGTTTCCGTGCTTTGACTACTCTAGGCATATTATAATTGGAATCATACGGTATTTGTCCTTTTGTGACTGGCTTAGTTTCATTCAGCATAAGGTCCGCAAATTCACGTTGTAGCATGTGACAGGATTCCCTTCTTATTTTAAGGCTAATATTCCATTGTATGTGCATGCTACATTTGCTTTATCTTCTCATGTGTCAAAGGAAGGGGCTTATTCTTAGGTGACTTGCTTAAGAATTTAGTGGGTCTTTTGCATTTTATTTATTTATTCATTTTTGAGACAGAGTCTCACTTCTGTGGCCCAGGCTGGAGAGCAGTGGCGCGATCTCGACTCACGGCAACCTCTACCTCCCAGGTTCAAGCGATTCTCATGCCTCAGCCTCTTGAGTAGCTGGGATTACAGGCACCTGCCACCACACCTGGCTAATTTTTGTATTTTTAGTAGGGGTTTCACCTTGTTGGCCAGGCTGGTCTCAACTGACCTCAAACGATCCACCGTCTTGAACTCCCAAAGTTCTGGGATTATAGGCATGAGCCACTGTGCCCGGCCCTCTTTTGCATTTTGGAGTCAGGCTAGTACAAAAATGTGGAAGACAACTGCCTGGTAAAGGGAGGGGAAAGAAATATTGTCCCTAGTCACATAAATTGTATGTATGTTATCTGGGGAGTTATTACAAGCTCCTGGAAATGTGGAAAAACAGCTCTATGAAAAAGATACTGAATAAAACCAGAGGTTCAAGTGCCCTTAAAAGGGGAAGTTGAATGTCTCTCACCCGAATAACCCTCATCATAGATACACTCAGAGTGAAAACTCAGAAATGGGGCTAGACAGGATGAACAAAGTTCATCCCACATTCTATGCCCCTGCCCTGGCGTGGCCTGAGAGCACCAGGCCTGGGGTATTCTCTCTGAGTCTCTTCTAGTTCCGGAGTTCTGGTGTCGGGGCCTTTTCTGTACAGTGAATGGGCATGTGGGGAGCCTTTAAGGGACTCTGCCATCTTCAACCAGGCATTTCTACTGTTTAATTTTATGTATTAGAACTCCAAGAAAAATTCTGTTTGAATAAAAGGATTCTCTTGCTATAAAACAAAGTTTGAAAACAATTAATATGATATGTCCAGTCACTGAACAAACTCCTCTTTGTTGACATCTCTGCTTAGATACTTACATGTCTATATATACACACCCCTTCTTTACTGCTGCAGAAAAGACAGGTGGCTGTTCATACCCACCTGTTGCTCTTTTGTGGGCAGAAGATGCCATGTTAAGTTCATCTTTTCTAGAGCCTTAGTGACCTTGAGTCTTAGGAAGTTTCTGACACTTACCTATATACTTCTGGTGACCTAAACTGCTGTGTTACATTAGAGGGCAGATGTATAGGACAGTCATCTAGAACCATCCATCCAACCCCCTTCATTTTTGCAGGGAGCTAAGTCCTTGACTTATGGGCTGTTTCTGGAAGGGAAGGCAGCTGTGTTCTTTAACCCTTTCTCCCCCAGGGCTGCCCTGTTGCTGTGTCTGTGTCTGTCTGATGTTCTTCTCTGAACACTTTCCAAAACCTCCATTACTCTCTGAAGTTTGCAGCCAGCAATTAGACCTGGGTTCTTGGGAGGCGTGTTACTGCTGCTAGGTTGCAGAATTACCTTGTGTGTCAATGAGCATCCTGTCTTGGCACTGAAAGGGGGAGTAAGTAGGCACCAGTGCCAACCTGCAAGGTTCTCTCTTCTTCCCTTCCTTCAGATCAAGAGGGCCTCTGCTTGTCTTGGTTGTAGAAGGCTTAAGATAAGGGACATCAACAGAGAAGCTGGAGTCACCTTTTACCATGTGGGGTACATTATCCAGGTGCTGGAGTTCACCTTGGTTCTAGGAACCAGGATGACTCAGTATGTGAGATGGTCCTTTTAGACTTCCCCTTCCTCCTCCCTGCAGTGAAACAGCATAGCCTGCATTTGAAAGAGGATACTGACTGCTTCAATCAAATGTTTATTTGATTATCTACTATGAGCCAGTACGTTGCTAGGTGCTGGGGAGTCAGGAGTCAGAGAAACCATCACAGCAGTACAGGCCCTCATGGAGCTCACACATGAATCAAATCATCACCAAGTATAAAACTGTACCCAGGACAAGTACTAAGAATACAATCTGTAGCAGAGTGGTTTGACCAATGGGGAGAGACTTTCTCCTAGAAGTGATGTTCAAGCTGCAACTAGAAAGATCAACAGAAGTAGGTTAGGCAAAGAAGGGAGAGAAAGAGCAGTCAAGGCAGAAGGGCCAGCACATGCAAAGGCCCTGTGGCATGAGAGAGAAGGGTGACTGCAAGAGAGATCATTAGAGCCCAAAGGCCAACAGGAATACAGAAGAGGATTGAGACCTAGAAGGAGGAGACGGATTCTCCTGGGCTGTGTAGATCATATTATTCAGGTTTTCTTTATCCTAGGAGCAAAGGAAAATGTTCATGCTAACTATTAAGTCCTGTTCCACACTGTCCCATATTTGGGTTAAATGGTAACCTCCTTCTACTCACCAGTCCCAGTATCTGCAAAAATTTATACACTTGGCGCTTTCCATCCATTCAAGCAAAGCTTTTAAAAGACTGATTTATTGAAGTGGCTGCACCATCCTTAGCACTAGTAATATAGTGATGAGCAAGACAGACAGGGCCCCATTCCCACTCCCATTCCAGTGACAAGACAGAGAAGTGAATAAACCGTTCCAATAAAGTGTGATCAGTGGTTTGCACAGGAAAGTTGAGGGTGCCCTGGATTTGCATTTTCCCCCTGTGAATTTCACCCTGACCTTTCAAAATCTGCACATCTTTGGACCTGCTGGCTACTAGTCATGCCCTTGTTCTATTCTCTCTCCCCAGCCACTGCTTTTATTGCCCATTAAATTAATAGACGGTGCCAAATGAATCTTTCAAGATTTATTCAGTGGAACTGGCAGTGTCTTGCCAAACGTGTCTCTCAGTGTCTAATCTTGGCTGACCCAGTTTCTCTGCCTGGGATGAGCTGAGGCAGTGACCAATATCAGCTCTGATATCTAGGTCATTAAACAGCAACTGCTATGCAGGCCCTTCTCTGCCAGGGCCCGTCTTTCTTGGAGGTGCAGAGTTCCTCACACAGCCTTCCGATGGTATTGGGTGACCTGTGTGCTCCAGCCTGGGGTAGCAGGGACACTTGGCTGTAGCTTAGGCTTCCTCATCCTGGGAGTAAGTAGGGACAGCATCAGGAGTCAGGTGCTGTGTTTTGCAGAGGGCCTTTTCAGAGAATGCTGCCCTCCCAGTTACTGTAAAGAAGTGGGTGGAGAAAACAGTTTCCAGATCCTCTTTCTGCCTCTCTCCATTGACAGCTGAAGTCCAGAATAAGCCCAGTGTCTTAATGAGTAAGAAAACAAAACATTATATAGCGGTGCACATGATCTTCCCGGATTAGCCTGGCCAAGAGCATGGGTTCTGGAATCACAGCTCTGCCTTTGAGCTGTGTGACTTTGGGGCAGTTAGTTGGCCTCTCTGAGCCTGTAAAGCGGGGGTATTAGAGTCTAGTCATGAGATATCTTATAGGTAAGTAAACTAGCATTGTGCTGGATAATGTTGTAACCATTCATGTGATAACAGTTACTGTGTCATTCTAAGATGTCAGCTCCCTTTTCTGGATTGGAGGATGGAAAGGCATATTTGCATATTTTCCGTTGGATTTTCCCACCCAGTCCTACATTTACTATAGTAACACCTTGTAGATGAAATGTAAGTAATGCGCTCTCTTCCCTCCCCACACCTAATGCTGCGTCTCCCATTCAGAGTCTTACTAGTGAAGACTGGTAAGTTTAGATTACTTATTAGTAAGACCAGTGAGCTAAGATCAATGCATGCATCCTTGTGAGATGGAATATATTTCTGCCCTGAGGATTTCTGTTGGTCTTAGCCTGGAATGAAGATCCTGCAGTACCACACCTCTGCTCTCTGGGCTTTAATAGCTCCTGGCTGCAAGTTTGTTAGCATGTGCAACTTAGACATTTTATGTGGAACTGTCTTCTGGCCTCTTCTACAAATAATGACAAATTCTTTTCTTTCTTCCTCCCTTCCCATCTTCTCGCCCTCTTGTAGGTGAAAATCGCATTGAGGTTCTGGCTGAAGTCTGGGACCACTTCTTCACTGAGACTCTCCCTACCCTGCAGGCAATATTTTATCCAGTTCAGGTTAGTCTCACTGGGGAACACTTCCTGTCATCCTCAGCAGTCTGTCTTCTCTCCTGGCCTTTGCAGCCTGGGGGCTCCTGGTAAATGGGAGAAAACTTGGAGATTGGGCACTTGCATTGGTTAAGGAGTTTAGAGATGTTTTAAGGGCTCTCTGGTTCTATATTTAGTATCTAACTTCAAGTGAAGAAGAGTGCCTGCATAACTAGCAATTTTTAGGCTCTTGTTACCCTCTTGGTTTTGAGTATGTCTTTATATTCTTGGAGTGGTTTGTTTTTCTTAGTTTTCAAAAGTAGAGAAGTTGGGGGGAAGGGAGATTTTTTTTTTTTTTTTTTTTTTTCCCCCCTTTTTCTTTTTTCCCCCCTTTTTTTTTTTTTTTTTTTTTTAAAGCACAATTTTAAAGCAAGTTTGCTGTTGCCTTCAAATCATGAAAAAGGAGTAACATTCCGTGTTCCTCTGTAAGGGATCCTACGTGATTTAGTAGGAGGAACGCCGGACTAGGAATCCGTAGACTTAGATTCAAGAGTGTGGGTTTGGGCAGAGTCGTTTATCTTCTGTGAGCATAGCTCCATTGTATCTCCAGCAAAACGAGGAATTTAGAGTAGAATATGAATGACACCTCTAGTATTCTTATTCTGTGGCCTCCACTCCTTCTACCATTTGTGTTGATATCCTTGCCCCCTTGTCTCTGTAGAGCTAATACCACGATGATCACTGCCAGGTCGATGCCACCCCTAAGGAAGGTTGACCTGTAGATGTTCCTCTCCAAAATACATGTCTCTCTCACTTAAGCTGCAGTGTGCTCACTCTTCTCTCCTCCCACTGTGGTTGAGGCTTCATATGTAATTAGGTATTGTTGAAGTGTGGGTGTCGTATGCAGAGGAACACAGCCATTAAGCAATGGGTAGAATGACCTTATGCCAGAGGTCAAGGCCCACGTGGACTGTTTGGTCTGAACAGTGTTTTAAAGGAATTTTGAATTGCTGAAAACATATGTCAAATATCTAAAACCTGGGAGGTTAGGCTTATAGATTCCATTTTCCATGTTAGACCCACCCCATAACATTTCCAGTAAGATAGTACAGATAGAAGCCTCTGTCCTGTAGCCTGCAGAAACCTTCCCCTTCCTTGCAGTAGTCACCCATCAGCCATCAGTGAGTCTTCTCTCAGGAAGACAGACATGGGGATAAGGTTGCCAGATTAAGCATATAAAAATACAGGATGTTGGCTGGGCACAGCAGTTTGGGAGGTTGAGGCGGGTAGATCACTTGAGTCCAGGAGTTTGAGACCAGTCTGGGCAACAAATGAAAACCCATCTCTCTTTAAAAAAATCAGCCAGACATGGTGGCATGTGTCTGTAGTCTCAGGTATAGGGAGGCTGAAGTAGGAGGATCACTTGAGCCCAGAAGATCAAAGCTGCAGTGAGCCGAGATTGCACCACTGCACTTCAACCTGGGAGACAGAGCAAAACCCTGTCTCTAAATAAACAAACAAGCAAACAAACAGGATGCTGAGTTATATTTGAATTGCATATATAAGCAAATAATGCAATATTTGGGACATAGTTATACTGAAAAACTCTTCAAATTTACTGGGCATCCTGTGTTTTATCCGGCAACCCTACTGGAAGGGGGGTGTACAGAAAAGGCCTGGATTTGTAAGTCGACAAAGGGGCATGTTGAATCAGTACCTGGTGCCTCCTGTGTTTATTTATTTATTTATTATTATTATACTTTAAGTTCTAGGGTACATGTGCACAGCGTGCAGGTTTGTTACATATGTATA